CCCCCCCCCCAGCTCCCCCCCATCAGGGGAACCCCCCCACACCGGACAGCCTCAAGGGCTACTAATTAATTTCCCAGGTGTAACGATGGCTCGTGAAGTCTTCCCAGTAACCTCCCTCGCTCCCAGCACCTCCTGTTCCCTGGCAACTGGATATAAAAGGTTATAATCTGAAGCGGGAGACAGCTCACCATGATTCATGGCCACGATCTGAATTTCTTTTCCCTACTCAATGTCTTCCTTGACAAGCTTTCAGCTCATAAAAAATGCCAATGTACCGAACTGAAGGAGGGGATGAGACATCAGGCGACAACGCAGCGAAACGCCGAGGATCAGGCGAGGCAGACCTGTAACTGGTTAAAAACTGCATCGCCCCAAACCCGAAGCTTTTTACCCCCCCTTTATGATACAGCCTCTGGGATGGACTTGTTTGGGTGCAGAAAATAAGAAGGAGGAGGGTGCAAATCACAGCTACGCGCAGATGACCTGATTCACTGTCCCCCAGCCTGCAAAACTGCTTTTCTCCTGCCTCACTCGATGGATCAGGCCACGAGAGCCGCTCAGCCCCTGCGGTCCCCGAGAACAAGAAGGATTAATAATAGCATTGCTGTTGGGCTTGGAAATAAAAAAAAAAAAAAAAAGAGAAAAGCCCTCGTTGTGCACAGCTGCAGGGCTCATCCGCAGCGGGGACGCAGAAAGAGCAGCGCTGTGACAATAAATGGCAGCGGGGACGGCGGAGGAGCTGGGCGCCGGCCGCAGCAGCCGGGGATCGGCACAATTTGCCTACTGCCCTGCATCCATCTCTTACCCCCTGTCCGTTCCCGAGGGGGCTGAGCCATCACCCGCCCGCCGTGCCTCCGGCAGCCCCTTCCCACGAAATGAAAGGCAAGAGGGTGGACGGAGCCGCACGGCTCCCGGGAGGTGCCGGCCCAAAGCATCCCAGCTCACCGAGGTGTCTTCGGAGCACGAGGCGATGATGTTCTCAATGAAGGGATTCCACTTGATGTCCAGCACGTTGCCCTGGTGACCACAGATTTTGGGGTAGTTTGGTTCGATCCGGCCTGTCTGTAATTTAAAATAAACAAAAAAAAAAAAAAAAGAAAAAAATAAATTTAGTGATAAATTTGGTCTTTCTCTAGAGCCTTGTTAGGGGAGAGAGCTCTGTAGCTCACACTGAGGTGGAGCTTTTGGCCGGAGGAGGTCCTGGCTGAGCTGAGGATTTGTTTTACCCCATCAATATTCCCAAAAATCCGTGTACGAGGAGGGATTTCTGCAAACACAGCCCCGTGGGGCTGCCCACCCGCTTGGGGAGCTCGGCAGCAAACAGCTGCACGACCAGCCGAATCCAGGGGCAAAAGGGCTGGAAGGGACTCGGGAGGCTCCAGACCAACCCCCGGGCCTCGAGGCAGATCGTAGAATCATGAAGGTTGGAAAAGACCTCTAAGATCATCAAGTCCCCTCTAAGATCATCAAGTCCCCTCTAAGATCACCAAGTCCCCTCTAAGATCACCAAGTCCCCTCTAAGATCACCAAGTCCAAGTGCCAACCCATCACCACCATGCCTACCAAAGCAGCCAGTGGGTCATGCATGAACCATTTGCTACTTTCCTCCCAAACTTTGGACGTGACATTGAGCAAGTTACGCATGTGTACCCCACAGGAGAACCCCCAGGAGCTTTGGCATCATCAACCCTCTTGCTAAACAATGCTAATAACCTAACCATGACACCACTTGATGGGATCCTTCCACACGGATGGAAACCCTTCCAAGACTTCATGGGATGGCGCGGTCTTGGCATCGCAGCAGAGCGAGGACCTGCCGAGCTCCGCGGCCGAGCACGGCGCACAGCCTCCTCCTCAGCTTCCCAGCGCAGATGGGCTGCAGGAACCCCCTGCTCCTCGCAGGGACCCAGCAGGGACCCTCCGGCCGCCCCACCGCCCTTCCTTCCCCGCGCCAGCTCCTTGCCGCAGCCCGGCGGTGGTGGCACCCTCAGAGCGTGCAAACTAACTAGGTCAGCACGACACAGCCACTAAATATTTCATAGCCCTTACAGCACTGACCTTTTCGCGCGTCGAGCTCCTGGTTCCATTTAACTCAAACGAAGAAGCACACCAAGGACCACACGCTGCGTTTTCACCATCCGCAGCTGAGGGCAACGGCCAGGAGCGCTCCCGGCAGGCCGATCAGGCCCAAGGGGCCCACCCCGCGC